GGCGTCGCTCCCGCACCTCGCTCAGCCAGTGAGCGGGAACCGGTCTGTATGTGGGATCCGAACCCTCGGCGGGAGCGCCGCCGCGCTTCCCAAGCGGTGCACTATAGCAGTGCGCCACCGGGCCGGCCCAGTACTGAGGTTTTTAATTACTCTTAATTCTCAAATGAGTGATGAAATACAGATATCAATTAAACTGAAGGCTTCTTCATTTACTTTTTTCCTTGCCTTTGAAATACTAAAAGCTGCCGTTCACAGCTCTGGTGTGAACACTTCCACTTACAGCACACACTTCGTCTGGAGTCCAGATAGGGCTACAGGGAAAATATTGTGCTGTTCTCACCTCTCTGTCCTCGAAGTAAATTTCCATGCATTGTGTGAGATGTTACCAGCCAAAGAACATTGTCCCAACAGCAGGTAAAAGAAAATAACATACATGTGCAGGTTGGAAAAATTCAAATAAATTCTTTACTAGTACATAAGGGAAACAAAGTGAGCCGGAAGGTTCTCTCTACTCCCCACCGCCACGAGTACGCACAATCACGATCAGTCTCTATTCGCTTTAGAATATTTCATTTAGAACACAAAAAAGTTCAATTAATCAAATTTTCCTAAGAAAAGCATACTACAGGCAAAGCCATGGGGGAAGAGTGGGGAAACCCAGATGGGCAAACTGTGAAACCCACAGCTGTGCTTTCACATCTCGAAATAAATCTGTCCCCAAGAGTGGAGGTTTCTGTTGTTCACATTTAAATATTGAATCATGTAAAACTCAATGACCTCTTCACTCTCAAAGTTAGAGTCCTTAATTAGGATACTTGAGTTACCTAATACTTACAAGATTTATGAGAAATTCCTTTGAATCCCTAGAGACTGAAGTTGTATTGGGAGGTAGATAAAAGGCAAAAAGAAATTGAATTAAGCCACAAGAAAAAATATTTATGAATGTTCTGAAGTCAATTAACTGACCATGTCCTATTCAACTTATGAGAGAAAATACAATATGGCTTTTTTAGAAATGGGATTTACTAAACAATTCAGCATTAACACTAGGTCATGTTTAAAATAAATTAATCCACATAAGAATAATTTGGCTCTAGGAACATCAGGAGTTTTGCTCAAAATGTAATACTAACAAACTATTAGGTTGGTAGAATTTTCAGAATCCAATTGTAAGTTTGTTTGCTCAATCTGGTGGCTTTCTAAGTAGTGACAGAAGTGACACTAGAAGAAACATACAAGGAACTATGACATAGCAGTACCTCCTTTTGAACTGATAGATCCTAAAGCTCATTTTATTTTACTTGCTTTTCATGGAAAATATCCAGAAAGTAAAAATTTTCCTTCTCCTGTTTTTTTTTTTTTGTTTGTTTCTACTACAGAAATTACTTCTAATTTTTTACTTGCACATAATTCATGCATATGCAGTAACTTAATGTAAGCACATTTCAAAGCTGGTGTAACCAATCTAAATTAGTATCATAAAGAAAGTTAAAGGGGCTGTTTCTCATCAAGTTGCACC